TGCCCGTGGACCGAAGAGCTCTCTCAAACTCAGCAAACGTAGGGATGTTGACGATGCCCCTCGAGGCCCCATTCAAATCACCCATCTTGTCCACACATATGGCTTCGAAGAGATCGGGGGACATCAATGCTGCAAGTTCCTGGGCAGCGAAGTGCTGCAGCCAATGGTCGTGTGCCTGTACTACGGTAGGCAGCAGTTCATTGTCAGGCCCCATGATGGCCGGCAACACCTTGTGTTGCCTATGTCTTTTTCCCGAGGCTCCCAAGAGCCTGAGGGCCGGAAAAAGCCGAAGCAAAGTCACGCGCAGACCATGCGTCCCGCACGGATTTGGCAATGTCCTGAAGCTTCCGACTTGCTTCGCTCTTGATGATATTATGAACTTGCTGCGCCCGCGGCATCAACAACCAAAATTGCAACGCAGAGGTGCGCATAGCAAGCGCCCTTGCCAGACGCAAAAGGGAATGAAACGAAACTGCCATCGCCTCTCCTCCGTACGGGAGGCCAGGGGCACCTGGAGGGAACATGAGAAAAGAAACTGCTGCCAAGTCTGCTGAGACCGCCTGTCTGCGATTGCAGGTGCGCCTGCGTCGTAGCTTCCACCTTGCAGGCAGTGCGACCTTAACAACAGAGGCGACCTGCTTAAGAATACGTCCAGCATCTGCACATACATTACGCACATCCCTGGGGGCAAGTCCTATCATGACTGACTCATGTCGCGCTGCCCTGAGAGCCGCGATCCTGTCCTTCCAGGCAGTGAGGACTCTTGACAACAAAACCCGATTGGTTTGCCCGTAGGCGAACACGGTTTCAACCTCGAAGCTCGCCTGACCTCCTGAGGCCGAATGCGCCAGAAACGGGGCCAAACAATCCGAAGCAAAACCAGAAAACCTGGACCCACAACAGATCGGGATGGCACACGAATGCCTCCACGCAAGCAGAACTAGCCTAGCCCGCACGTGTGCAGCCAGACCTCTGATCTGAGACAACGCTCGACGCATCCTGTGCAACGCGGCAACTTGCAGGCGAGCGTCCCCTGAGAGTCCAGTATCTTTCTGGCTCTGATCCAGCTCGAAAAACTTAACCATGCCCTGACGTGCATGCCCCGAGACCTGAGCACAGTGCCTGGACGGCGGGACAGCCCAATGTGGCTTAGGAGCCTGATCCATATATTTGGCGAAATCTTCCTGAATAGCGGCATCCGCCAGCTTAGCACGATCCAGCCGTGGCTTCGAGGAAACGATCCCCTGGAAAGGCCTCAAGTCCGGGATGGGCATTCTGAAATCTAATTGCACTAGCGCATGGTCTGGTCGGGCAATAGCAAGCTCGACCGCTTTATTGACTGTAGGATCCACTGCAAAAGCTCGCGACGACATTGGCACGGCGACGAAATCAATCCGTCTCGTGGCCACAAGTCCCTGTGGAGGAGTCCACGTCTTAGAAGCCTGCGGGTCACCAGAGAACGTAGCGGGTAGCATGAACGCACAATCCTTAATGCACTTGTGAAAGCATGCGCCGTTGTAGTTCTCGTTTTCCCTAGCAATAGGACCTGCTGCTTCTGAGGGGGCACTGCCAACAGTAGCGTTAGCGTCGAGAAGTAAAAAGGTAAACGGGGTGGCCTCGAGAGTTTTAGCCACCACTCCAGAACACTTATTCCACCAGGCAACGATATCCGCTTTGTCGTGCTTAGAGTGCGGTGCGTGCCCAACAATGAATGACAGAGACACCGAGCTCACTGCAATATTGGCAATCAAAATCGTGGGTTCAGCAAGTGCAACTGTGACTAGATGTATCTTGATCGTGCTATCCGCCAGGGACGGCACCAGAGGGACCCCTTTCCTCAACCAAAGCGAGCAACCGTGGGACCCCTGGGAGGTGGCTGGCCCATGTAGGACCAGGAAGTTCCCGATGTCAGTCCATCCTTGGCGGGGGACTCTAGACTCTGCGGTGCCCACAACCTGCAACTTAGCCGCTTCAAATTGTGCTGCCAGCATGCGTGGACGCCCTGCAGCATACAGACCGACAGGCGCTTTCTTGCCATTGCCTGTAGCTCGCAGGCTCAGAATATTAGCAAAGGCCATTCGCGCCGAGAGCTTGGCATGCGGCACGACATCTCTGGACAATGATGCTGAGGCGCCAGGCTGTGGGGACCTAGAAAACGGCAGATCATGATCAGGGCCGAGAGGGACGGAACGAGGCGGGCAAACATCTCGAAAGCTCGGGGCATCCGTAACTAGAATAAAGTCACCTTGGCAAATCGACGGGAATTGCTGCCGTCTTTCAATATCCAGCAATTCGAGCCACGCCCACGAAGCAGCGAGTGGTTCCACCAACCAACGTTCCCACGGGCAAACCGGAGGGGGCTCCACAATTTTTAAGGCAGCCAATGCACACAGGGTATCAGCCATTTCATTGAGGGGGTCCTCTAGATGAGCCTTCACGTGATGGAAAGACGTCGCCGCAACCTGTTGAAGCGAGAGAACTAGGGAACGCAAACACCTGGCTACACCTGAAATGTCTGGGAGCCCTCCAAAACCAAACGCTGCTCTGACGACAGACAAATTGTCAACGTGAAAGCTGGCATCAGTACACTTTGCCTCGACAGCCCAAGCTACTGCCCACAGCATTGCCACGGCCTCTGCTGCCATACTGGCAAAAGCACGAGAAATTGACATGGCATCCAGGTCGAGGGTGCCTGCAAAGAACCCTCCAAAGTGCCAGGGCCCCGACGGGTGCAAGAGAAGCACGACGAAAGCCCAAGACGGTGGCGCCCCTCCACCACCTCCCGACCCGTCAGAATAAATGAAGGCACGACAGAGGTGGGGATGATCAGGTGGGAGAGGTGCAAGAGAGGCAAGGTATGCACGCGAACACGGAAGCAAGAAGCGCTCGATGTCCTGCCAGCTCCTTGCAGGTGCCCACGACCAGGGTGCCTTAATCGCATCCAAGAGGCCTGAGCAGACTACTGTCGGTGACCTTATAGTGGTTGGGTTGCCACCCGGATCGCAATCATTGAGATCGCACGGGATCGGGGTGGCAGGTCCTGTTATCCCTGAGGATCCTCGGCATCTTCCTCTGCGGGCTCCTCGCCCCCCCCTCGAGCTCGCCTGACTGGCGACCGAGAGCTGTCTCTCAGCCTGCTGGGTGCCGCTGTCGAGCCACCAGGGCTCCGCGGTGCCGCAGCAGGCGCTGGGATGGAAACAAAAGTAGACGATTGGCCAGGTGCACTGGCCGAGGGCATCAGGAACTGCGGCGGCGGCACCACTCCACTCGGCGGCGTCCTGGTGGCCGCCAGCAGCGCTTCGTGCTTCGCGTTCAATATGTTGAACTGCGAGCCCAGGCTGTTGACGTTGCTGTCGATCCTTTGCTGGAACATGACCAAATTCTGTGAAATCGACGCAAGCTGGGACTGCACCAGGGCCAGATCGACCACCTGACCAGGCTGGAGCCCAGGCTGCGCTGGTGCAGGCTGCGTCTGCGGCGCCCTCACCGAGGGTGGCGCGGCAGCCGCAGCAGGCGCACCACCTGGCTCCTCGCTGGCTTCGTCGGTCTCCATGATACCTGGCTCTCCCAGCGGCTCGGCGTCGACGGGCTCCATGGCCTCGATCTCCATCAGAGCCTGCTGGTGCCGCGAAACCCACTGATCGGACAAGTCCCGCTTGACTCTCATTTCGTCTAGCTCGGCCTCTTTGTTTCGAATCTCCTGCTCTTGAGCTTCCAACTTCGCCTGCGACCTCTGAAGGGCCGCTCTTTGTCGCTCTCGCTGTTGATGCCAAGGTCGGCAAAGGTGGATGGCTGTGAGCAAAACTGCATACCAATCTCGCTCGTCCTCGCTGGCATACCCAGCTTCTTCCTTCATACGGATTGTGGCGGCAAGAACTTTCATTTCGGCCCTTCTCCTGCTGATGTAAGTCTTCCGATCGGACTCTGTCGCATTCTCGCCAGGCAGAGGCGGAAACCGATGATGATACACTGCCATGGCTGGAAGGGCTGGTAATATATTGAGAGGCGCTGAAACATTCGTCACCCCATCCTCCTCCTCGTCTGCGAAAGTCACGGAAGGTGATCTCGCTCTTTGATCCTGCCTCTGCTGTCCTCTCCTTGGCCCCCTTGACGACCGTCTTGCCTGTGACTGTGCCGATTGTGACCCTCCTGAGACAGCACCTTGGGCGTTCCTCACCCAAGGTTCTCGGACCATGCCGTACGCCATCGACTGCTGAGAAGACGGCCACGAACTCGGCACTTGGCTGGACATCATCTGCTGAGGCTGAAACTGTCGACCACGCTGTTGGCCAGGCACGCGAGGAGGGGCCAGACCACGACCGCTGGGCATCTGCGGAGACTGATCGGGCATGCACGTCGAACAAAAACTGGAGGCAAACGAATTGACTCCACCACATATTTCACACAACCAACTGTCTTGCATCCGAGACTGCGACGAATGATGTTGCCTGAGACGAGATGCAGCGGCGGCAACGCGGAGCAACGTGCGGTCGAGAGACCTCTGATGCCGCTCTCGCCTGTGCCACCCTCCGTCGGACGGAATTGCGGCGGGCCGCCACCGGCTGGCGGCTGGCACGCGAGGCCCCTGAATCTGGCGGGGAAGATACAAAATTGCCAGAAACAAAACCAGCCACCAGGAAAGGTCTCCGGTGGCCTGGGCCTTAGGAGGAGGAGGAGGAGGAGGAGGAGGAGGAGGAGGAGGAGGAGGAGGAGGAGGAGAGAGGAGGAGGGAGGGAGGAGGAGGATGAGGAGGAGGAGGAGGAGGAGGATGAGGAGGAGGAGGAGGAGGAGGAGAGGAGGAGGAGGAGGAGGAGCAGGAGAAGGAGCAGGAGGAGGAGCAGCAGGAGCAGGGATTGGGAGAGAGAAGGAGGGAGGAGTACGACGAGTAGGGGTGGTGGGGAGGAAGAAGAGGACGAAGAGAGGAGGAGGAGGATGAGATGGAGGAGGAGGAGGAGCAGGAGGAGGAGGACGATGAGGAGGAGGATGAGAAGGAGGATGAGGCCTATGGCCCTGGGAAGGTCATCCCTTCGCTGAACGGCAAGCTGACCGGCATGGCGTTCCGCGTGCCCACTCCCGACGTGTCTGTGGTGGATTTGACCTGCAGGAAATGCGAGGGGGGAACGACGGCAATCAAAAGAGGACAAGGTTACGTGGGGGGGCATGCTTCTGAGAAGGTTCCCTGCCTCTTGAAAGCGGGATGGCAGGTCAAATTTTAGACTGCCTCTTACCTTCTTGGAAAGCTGCCCCCTCTCACCCTGGCCCTATACTGCTCGCCGCCATGCATGGGGGAGGTGACGAGTGGGATGTGAGACTAGGAGGAGGAGGAGGAGGATGAGGAGGCGGAGGAGGAGGAGGAGGAATAGGAGCAGGAAGAGGAG